CAGAGCCTCTGCCATGTTGCCAGGGCCCAGTCAGGATGGCCCCAGCATCTACCCTCACCAGGGTGAGAGAAGCCAGGCTCTCCCTCCATCCCTGCCCCTCCAGGCCTAGGGACCCAAGGAGCCTGTGCCTCTACACAGCTCCATGCAGGGTTCTGGTCCTCACACAATGACCAGAGGAAGAAAGGCCAGGCCTAGGCAGAGCCCCTTTCCCAACCCCTCCCCAAACACACCCGACCTTACAGAGAGAGAGATGTCACAGGCAAGGCAGCCTGACAGTGACCCAGCCCTTGGAGCGGAACCAGAAGCAGAACTTCATCTATGATTCCACAGACTTAGGCAAGATGGTGGCATCATAGCCACCATACCTGCAGCTGCTGGGACACTCAAGTTGGCCCTCAAGATTCTGAAGCACTGGGTGTTCAATGATGGGGATGAGGAGGTGGAGTTCTGCTTCTCGGTGGATGTCACTGGCAAGAAAGGCACAACTACATCCTCCACCTGCTGTGCACCTTCCCCCGACCACAGCTTCCTGCCCGTGCCCAGTGCACAGGTGCTGTGCCAGCTTCCCCCATGCCCACTTGCAGAGGCTCTGCTGCCTGTGCCAAGAGGTAGTGAATGGCTTGGTGGAGCACAGGTGAGGAGCAGCCCTGTGAGGCTGTGGCTGGGGCAGGCTGCCCTGCCAGAGAGCCTGGGCACCCTGGGTTGTTCTGGGGCTGGACCCTTGAAGAGAGAAGTTCTGGAAAGTGAAGAAGCCACACTCACTGGAGACCCTTTCCCATCTCCCACTCACCCTGTGGTCAGCCTCCTGAATGCAGAGATCTATGTTGGAAGCAAACTAGGGAGCAGCAAAACAGGCTGAGGCCATATTGTTCCCCGAAGGAGCATGCAGAAATCTGCTGTGTGGCTGTGAATGGCACCATGCCAGGGGTGGGCAGGTGGGACACTGGGTGTTGGTGCCGCTGGTGTTTCCTGCTTAGAGTTGGCCATGTTAAATTGCCCAAACCACAAATAACTCTGTCTCAAAATGCCAGTGGCATTCCCGTCACTGTTGAGAGCCCCAGCCTGAATGGGGAGCCCCTCTCTGCCCTCTTCATACTATAGCTGTCTTATTCCTGTCTGGGTAGATGTTGGGTTTTGCTGTGACCTGATGCTCTTGGGTGTGTGCACGCCCATGTTGACACTTGCACACTGGGCAGGATATGTCTCTATGTGTGCAGTCCCACATTACTCAGCCACAGCAGGCCAGGACACTGCCAGGCCAGTCAAGCTTTGGAATCCCCCTCTGCCCTCTCCTGTTCCGCCCATCTGCTGTACACCAGGTGCCTCCTGAAGCCTGATGCAGCAGAAAGCCAGCAGGCTGGAGCACCCCACCTCCCTGGATAGTAGCACTCTTCCTTCCTTGGAGTCTTAGCTTGAAGACCCTCTGGGACACAAGGCAGGAATTGAGGAGAAGGACAGCAGTACTAGCAGCCTGGCCAAGGGGAAGGGGCTGGCTGAGGGCACTGCTGCAGAGGACAGCACAGGTAGGATCACAGGGGTGGGTGGGTGGCTTGAAAGCTTCATCGCCCTAGTTGAAAGCTTTTTTTCGTCTCCTAGTATAAGTAAGATAAACTTGGAAAGATGGGTTTCTTGAGCTGTTGTTGGTGGGGACCAGGGGTAGCCTAGGGAGCACATAGGGACCAGAGCTCCTGCGTGCTTTTCTAGAGAGATGCGGTTTCTGGAACTTTTCTAGAGTGAAAAAAAAAAAAATCTCCATGGTCAGTGAGAGGGCAGTTCTTGGAGTCGGCTGGTGGTTGAGTCCCCTTCACACAGCGATGGACTGGGGTGGGTGGGAAGCAGAACAGGGCCCTGAAAAGCACCAGGGAGGCCCTCTAGTCCATAGGGTGGGGGGGAGCTCCTGACTTTCTCTACTTCGGGGACTCATCTCCCCTTCCCTCTCTCTCTCTCTCTCTCTCTGTCTCTTTCTCTCTCTCCCCACCTCCCTCCCCTCTCTCCTCTCTGGCTCTGCCCTGTGGCTGAAGAGCTTCAGTTAGCAGGATGAACTCAAGGGCAACCCTGGGTGCACCCTGTCACCTTCTTGGCCCACACTGCCCCGGCACATTGTCCCTATGGCCAGTTCAAGTAAGGGGATCTCTGGGCGACCGAAGAATGCCACCTGTGAGAGCACAGGCACTCTCAAGGCCTGGGTCAAGGGGCACCACAAGAACCCCTGCCCCACCAGAGGCAAGGAAAGAATGCTGGTCACCATCACCAAGATGACCCTCATGCCAGTCCCCACCAGCCTCACCAATGCTCACCAGCCTCTCAAGGAGAACACAGTGATGTGGGGTGCACACAGCAAGGACCAGGAGGCCTCTTCCGCAGCGACACTGAGGGCAACCCCGAGAAGGCAGAAATTGACCTGGAGAGCATCCACCTCCACAAGACCAACAGGCGCGATGGCCACCAGAGCGAAGAGGGCGACGGGGACAGGGCAGAGGGACATGCGCCTCTGCCACCCTCACCCAGAACGAGGGCTCCCTGCTGGCAGCCGCTAACTTGCTCAAGCCCCAAGGCTTGCCCTTGGGCCTGGCCAAGGAGGTCCCAGAGCCCGGCTGCAGGCCCCAGTTAGCCCTGGGGCTGCAGCGGAGAGCTGCAGGGTGAGCCGCTCAGGCAAGTCCATCTGGTGACCGCCTACCGCAGCCTAGAGCCCGCAGGGCCCGCCCACCGCTTTGCCTTCCCGGCTACCCGCGGGCTACTCCGGCGCGTAGGGCCCCCAGCCCCCGCCTGTGCCACGCCGGCGAGGGCTCCGGCTGGACGGAGGGGACCTTGTTCGCCCGAGACCTTGCCTTCCTGGACCTCCACATGGCAGCCGCCCGTCGCGGTGGTCAGGGGCGCTCCGCAGAGACCAGACCCGGGCCCGCAGCGCTGCGCGCTCCCAGGCACAGCTCCGGGTGCCAAGTCCACCTGGACCCCGGCTGAGATTAGAGAGGCCTGGCGAGGTGTGGGGGTGCGGCGGGGAGCATGTGTTCTAATCGCCATCGTGCTTGTTGGGCTTTTGGAGATGGATGTTCCCCGGATCAATCTCTGCCTTCTAGGGGTTCGCCCTCAGTGTCGCTGCCAAAAAGGCCTAGGTCCTCCTGGTCCTTGCTGTGCGTGCCCCACAGCAGACCCTGATCAAGGGTCTTCTCTGACTTTTGGGCAGGGAGTAAGGGAGAGGAGAGGGGACTTGAGAAGGGAGGGAATGACGACTTCGCTTTTCTGTACGGCCCTTCATATTCTCACTGAGGGGCCGGTGGGCGTTGGCGAAGCTGGGGGGACTGGCGTGAGGGTCATCATGGGCAGGGAACGGTGCGAGGCAGTGGCTTCGAGACTTGGGGCGTCTCCGGACTGAATTTGGAAAGCTAGGCCAAGGCCCTGGTGCTCTCCCAGACAGACAGCTGCGCTCCACCCGCGGGCCTGCCTGGGCGCGGGGACAGCGCAGCGGAGAGGCAGGGACAGGAGGCCTGAGCCCCTGGGCGACCCTCCCACCTGTCCCCCTGTCCCAATCCTGGACCTCTTCAGATTCCTCGCAGAGAGAGGCCTCGTCCCCACGCCGGATTCGCCGCACAGCGGTCAAAGCCGCCCTCGCAACCCGCAGGCGACCAGTGGGTGCTGTTGGCTTTCGCTGGGGGAGGGGACGGAGCGCGGCCGGGTAGTTGTGCGGGTCGTGCGGCAGTTACGGAGGGGGCGCCATCCGCCAGCCCTGGACTCTGGGGGAGCTGAGGTGACCTGAGTTTCTCCCCAGCACGGAGCCGCGCAGGACTGCGACCTCGCCCCCGGGCTCTGCTGCTGGGAACGCGCCCCCGGCGCCGCTCCCGCCGGGCTTCAGCGCAGTCTGCGCCTCTCGCGGGTTCTCCCCAGCTCGCTGGGCCCGCAGGAGGGAGCGCGCCGTCCCACAGCCCTCCCGTCCGCCTGATCCAGGGTCTTCTCTGACCTTTAGGGAGGGGGTGGGGGGAGAAGAGGGGAGTTGTGAAAGGAGGGAATGAGGGCTAAAGTGGGTTAACGGGAGACGACTGCGCTTTTCTCTAACCCGCTGGTTTCCACCCGGGTCATGGAACATCCTGAAGCTGGGCCCAAGCTCGCGTGCGGTGTGCAGTGCTGTGCACGTTTCTGCTGCGGTAAACATACTGAAGGAATGCTCAGCTTGTCTAACAGGGTTTTTTTTGTTTTTTTGTTTTTTTTTTTTTTGAGACGGAGTTTCGCTCTTGTTACCCAGGCTGGAGTGCAATGGCGCGATCTCGGCTCACCGCAACCTCTGCCTCCTGGGTTCAGGCAATTCTCCTGCCTCAGCCTCCTGAGTAGCTGGGATTACAGACACGCGCCACCATGCCCAGCTAATTATTTGTAGTTTTAGTAGAGACGGGGTTTCACCGTGTTGACCAGGATGGTCTCGATCTTTTGACCTCGCGATCCACCCACCTCGCCCTCCCAAAGTGCTGGGATTACAGGCTTGAGCCACCGCGCCCGGCCCTAATACGGTTTTGAACTAATTTTCAGTCTGCCAGCTGCGCTGTGTTTTGCCCAATTCTGATCCTGTTCCCAGAACACAGCGGCTTAGACAATCTGTTATCTTACTTCATATCCTTTCTTTTGACGCCAGAATATCCTAGAGATCAGGGGCCTCTCCCATGCCCTGGAACCGTCCTTTCGCTGTACTGCTCTTCATTGGTGCCAACGACTGCGCTCCCGAAGACAGGCCTGGATCAGTGGGGACTGGGGCCCTGAAGTGAGATGGAGCCAGGCAGAGCGCCCCCGGGAGAGGGGCTTGGGGCAGCCCTGAGCTTTAGACTTGGCACCCTAAGGCTTGAGGATGTGACGGTGTGTCCACGTGCGTGTGAAGGGAGGACGGCTGAAGGTACTTGCGGTCCCCCGCACGTCACTAACTCTGTGGACGCGGGTCACACTCGCGCGCGCGCGGCAGGGTCCTTAGCCACACCGTAGCAGGGTGGGGCGGGGCGCGGCGGGCCGGGGTCCTTCAGCAGGCATGCGCGCTCCCTTCTGGGCCAGCCGTTGCGAGGCGCCGGGCGCCAGCCGTTAGCCGTTTCGGTTTGCGCGTAAACGGCGAGTCTGGCTACTCAACGCAGGATTTCCAGCGGGGGCGCACAAACCTCGGGAGGGAAGATGGAAGCCGCAGCTACTCTAAAGGCAGCCCCAGGCTGGCTAAAGCGGTCCCTGGTTCGGAAACCGAGGCCTGAGTGCTCGGGCTCCACCTGGCCTGGTTCAGGTGAGAAGAGGGAAGCCTCGGCCCGGGACCCGCGTCGGAGCCACAGTTGGGCCTGGCCTTGCTGCCAGGGCGGGGCTGCCAGGCCTCATCCCGCTTTGGGGCTGGACCTGGCGTCTCCTTTCTCGCGACCGCACTGATCCAGACTGTGACATTTTCTTTCCAGCGCGTGACCCACGCAGCTCTGGATTCCAGGCAGGAAGCTCGAAGGTCAGGGAGAGCACCTCTGCCGGTGAATTATTCATCCCCTATTGAGTTATCGTGACGCCCTGTGGCTTTGGGAAACCTCTCCACAACCAAGTGGAGCCACAGCTCTCCGCCAACGAAGGTAAAAGGTCGGATCAGATACTGATCAAAAGTGGCAGTTATTAAGGCTTCATTTGATTCTCACCTGGGGCACATGCGGCTCCTAGCCCAGATAGCCTGTAACTTAGAAATGGGTTTGAGTAGAAAATCTATAGAAGTGGCCGGACACGGGGGCTCTCGCCTTTAATCCCAGCACTTCAGGAGGTTGAGGCGGGCGGATCACCTTCGGTCGGGAGTTCGAGACCAGCCTGACCAACATGGAGAAACCCTGTCTCTACTGAAAATACAGAATTAGCTGGGCGTGGTGGGCATGCCTGTAATCCCAGCTAGTCGGGAGTCTGAGGCAGGAGAATCGCTTAAAACCGGGAGGTGGAGCCAAGATTTCGCCATTGCACTCCAGCCTGGGCAACAGAATGAAACTCGGTCTCANGAAAATAGCCAGGAAAAATTTGAAAGTAAGTTTTGAAACAGGACTCTGCGATTCTAAACCTTGCTTTTCAAGAAACTACACTGCACTCTCTGAAAAATTTGTAAACCCTGTTTCAAGTCCAAATTCCAGATAATTATCAATCAACACTGTTACAAACTGTTACAATCAACACTGCCATTGCTTTGACAAAGAAAAAAATCCAAAGGTGACACAAACAGATCTTTCACCACCATCTTCTACTTTAAAATAGATGTTGATACCACCTTAAACTGCCATTACAGAGTAGCCATCGAGCAAGAGAATAGTGAGGTATAATCTATCTGTATGACACTGGCCATCACCATGGTAACAATCAGCTGTATACCTATCACACCCATGGTGCCTAGGATATGCCATGGACTAGACACCTTAGAGTCGCCGGGACAGTCCCAGACCTCTTCCCTCCAGGTCCTTGAGCTGGGAGCCTCTCAAACAGTGAGAGAGAGGGTCTTCCAGCTCTGCCCTGGTTTTGTTTTTATTGAGACAGAGTCTCACTCTGTTACCCAGGCTGGAGTGCAGTGGTGCCGTCTTGGCTCACTACAACCTTCACCGTCCGGGTTCAAGCCATTCTTGTGCCTCAGCTCCTGAGTAGCTGGGACTATAGGCACGTGCCAAGATGCCTAGCTGGGACTACAGGTGCGTGTGACTGTGCCCGGCCAATTCTTTTATATTTTTAGTAGAGACGGGGTTTCACTATGTTGATCAGGTTGGTCTCGAACTCCTGACTTCTGGTGGCTTACCCACCTCAGCCTCCCAAAGTGCTGGGATTATAGTCACGAGCCACCACACCTGGCTAGCTCATTTTCTTTATTTCTGGGTTTGCTCTGGTGTGAAAATTATCATTAATTTGTTTTTCTTCAGATTGTCTCTAGTTCCGAAAAAATAAAATTAAAAAAGTTATAATTTACAATTCGTGTCACATAATTTTGATGGCACACTGTGTCCTGTCAGAGATTTCTTTTAACATTCTTTTTTGTTTGGTTTTGATTTTGGTTTTGAGTGTTTTATTATTAAAACAGCTTTGTTGAAATATGATTTACATACTATAGAATTTATCTGTTTTAACAAACAGTTTAAAGATTATTAGTAAATTTACTGAGTCATGCAACCATCACTACTGTCCAACTTTAGAACATTTCCATCACTCCAAGAAGATGCCTCATGCCCGTTACCAGTCACTACCCATTTCCAGCCCCAGCCCTATGCAAACATGCATCTACTTTCTGTCTCTGTACATTTATCTATGTCAGGTGTTTCATGTAAATGAAATCATGCAGTATGGTAAACATATTTTTCATCTACTTATTTTTATATTCAACTAGGTTCAACATGTAGCTACATAACCAAATATTTAAATTTTCTCTCTGGAAATTTGAAGATAATTATTTTTCTTGATACTTACTTCTTCTGCTTTCTGTTTTTCATACTGAAACAGTCTTTTAAATGATTACATTCATTGATTAACTGCTTATTTTTCTTTCTTTCTTTCTTTCTTTTTTTTTTTTTTGAGACAGTCTTGCTCTGTTGCCAGGATGGAGTGCAGTGGTGTGATCTTGGCTCATTGCAACCTCTGCCTCCTAGATTCAAGCGATTCTTCTGCCTCAGCTTCCCTAGTAGCTGGGACTAGAGGCAAGCACCACCATGCCTCCTAACTCTTGTATTTTTAGTAGAGACGGGGTTTCACTATGTTGGCCAGGGTGGTCTTGATCTCTTGACCTTGTGATCTGCCCGCCTCAGCCTCCCAAAGTGCTGGGATTACAGGCTTGAGCCACCGCACCCGGCCCACGGCCAGCCATTTTAAAAGACCTCTCAGGTTGGGTAGAATATGTTTTAAAACAAGGCTCTTGCCACTCTCAAGCGACGGCAGTTGTAGCTGTTAAGCATATTCATCTCCATCAAATTTAAAATAACTGTGCAGCTTTGTTTACTGTAATATACAGTGGCTATCTCTTCCTTTCTGTTGGATTTTATCATTTCAAGAGTACCTAATAAACAGAAGAGACTCTAGCCCCTTTCCCTCCGCTAAAGCACGGCTCAGTTTGAAGATTGTTCTATAGGCAGCCACTATGACTATCAATAGTACCATAATACCATTAAAAGCAATCAATATGGAGTCACGTGAGATGTTTCAAAGACGGCTGGAGGTTTCTGTAAACCAAGGTAATCAGAAGTATTACCCTTGTAGATAGCCCTCTCATACCGGTACATACAGAGTTAACATTCCAATGCCACAGTGTAACAGTTAACAATATATTTTGTAATTTTAAATATTATAACTTTAATTCACCCTGAGAATACAGAGGAAACATTTAATACAAAATATTCTGATATATATATTTTTTCCTTTGTATTTGCTTTCTTCTGGTTTTCATCAGCCCTTTAAGGGCACAAATATTTGAATTTGAAGTGTGATTAGGATATGCTTTTTTGTTAACTAAGATGCATGCCACAGTCAGATACTGGTGATAGAAAAACCCAAAAAGGCTTGTAGAAAAGAGGCAAGCAGCAATCCACCAGTCAGAAAAGACAGAAGTCCTCGAAAAAGAAGAGGAGTAAAAATATTTTTTAAGCTGCTCAATGCCACCGTTATTTGTGTAACAATTACTTTCATCTTCCCTTCAGCTGATGGTAATTCAGAGTAAACAGAATTGGAGAGTAGACTATTATCCACTAGTAAGGTAGATAGATTCTGGATAAATACCCCAGGAATGATTGCCTCGTGTTTTCAAAAGCAGAGTTGTGTGAAGCAGCACTACCAGAGGCGCCACATACTGCAGTGCAATGACACAAAGGTAATAAGAGACTTGAGCCACCATTTTCTGTAGCTCAACTGTACTTATTCGCCCTGCTTCTTTCTTCATCTGATTCACACATTTTTGGGCTAAATTTAAATAAGCTTGCAGGTGGCTACACATCATGGCCAACCGCAAAGCACACAGCAGGATTATTAACCAGAGTCACAGAGTATCGAATGTGGCTTCTGTCATTAAAGGGATACTTTCTTTACCCAATGGTGGGTTCATAATGTAGTCTTTGGTGATTGGTTTTACCCAGAGCAGAACCATAAATAAAGGTGCCAGAAAGTTGATATGAAGTAATGTTTGTGTAATTTTTTCTGTTGCCAAATTCAGGGCATCCAGATGCATTTGAGCCAGCCATAATCCCGGAAATGTCAAAAAAGTCCCAATGAGTGAACGGAAAATAGCCAGGAAAAATTTGAAAGTAAGTTTTGAAACAGGACTCTGCGATTCTAAACCTTGCTTTTCAAGAAACTACACTGCACTCTCTGAAAAATTTGTAAACCCTGTTTCAAGTCCAAATTCCAGATAATTATCAATCAACACTGTTACAAACTGTTACAATCAACACTGCCATTGCTTTGACAAAGAAAAAAATCCAAAGGTGACACAAACAGATCTTTCACCACCATCTTCTACTTTAAAATAGATGTTGATACCACCTTAAACTGCCATTACAGAGTAGCCATCGAGCAAGAGAATAGTGAGGTATAATCTATCTGTATGACACTGGCCATCACCATGGTAACAATCAGCTGTATACCTATCACACCCATGGTGCCTAGGATATGCCATGGACTAGACACCTTAGAGTCGCCGGGACAGTCCCAGACCTCTTCCCTCCAGGTCCTTGAGCTGGGAGCCTCTCAAACAGTGAGAGAGAGGGTCTTCCAGCTCTGCCCTGGTTTTGTTTTTATTGAGACAGAGTCTCACTCTGTTACCCAGGCTGGAGTGCAGTGGTGCCGTCTTGGCTCACTACAACCTTCACCGTCCGGGTTCAAGCCATTCTTGTGCCTCAGCTCCTGAGTAGCTGGGACTATAGGCACGTGCCAAGATGCCTAGCTGGGACTACAGGTGCGTGTGACTGTGCCCGGCCAATTCTTTTATATTTTTAGTAGAGACGGGGTTTCACTATGTTGATCAGGTTGGTCTCGAACTCCTGACTTCTGGTGGCTTACCCACCTCAGCCTCCCAAAGTGCTGGGATTATAGTCACGAGCCACCACACCTGGCTAGCTCATTTTCTTTATTTCTGGGTTTGCTCTGGTGTGAAAATTATCATTAATTTGTTTTTCTTCAGATTGTCTCTAGTTCCGAAAAAATAAAATTAAAAAAGTTATAATTTACAATTCGTGTCACATAATTTTGATGGCACACTGTGTCCTGTCAGAGATTTCTTTTAACATTCTTTTTTGTTTGGTTTTGATTTTG